AAAGTCTCCACTCGTCGATTGACCTCGTCAGAGGGATACGTTGAAGAATAATCCCACTTATATTTGGCTACCCCTTGATTTGACTATTTTCAGTGTTTGTCTACCATCTTTATTTGTTTACCATCTGTATTCAAAAAGCTTTCATATTCTTTTCCGCCTGCCGTCTTCATTCGAACAAGATATTTATTTGGCCACCTTTTATATTCGACCATCTTCTGTATTTTTCTACCATCTTCCTTCGACTTTATTCTTATATTATCTCTCATTGAGCCTTAAATTATCGAGCTTTATATACTCAGGCGAATGCTCCAGATCTCAGGCGTATCTGGCACCAATTAACCGACCATGGAAAATGGAAAGCTTGGATTCGATAAAGAACATCAATCACGGATGCGAACCGAACTTTGCGTATGCGATAGAGCGCCACTTGTCACTTCTCGCTCTCGATGTGGTATGGTGGCTACGGCGGACTATGAAAAAACAATAAACAGCAAAGTGCAACGGAAATTACGGGAAGTAGAACGACAGGAAGAGCGTCATAATTGTGATGTTAAATTCATGAATTCCTTGGGAAAACTTCGTAAACCGACAGTTGGATCATGGAAAAAAGCAAGCGCAATTAATCCCTTCTCAATGAGTCCTACAGTAACCAGGTTGCTTCAATTCATGCATCCGAAGTAACTTAGGTACATCCTTGCTCTACTAACTTGCCACGCAAAGACATTTGCCGACACTCTACACTTCAAACTGAGCTCTGATTACAAGTTGTAGCTTTAGCCAGCTTCTCAACAGCGAACAACGATAGCTATTCTCTGCTACTATACCGTAGGTAGGCATTGGCTTGTTTCACCACGCACAAATTTATCTGCTGGCAATAGCGACAGTTCACTCCTGAGCGAGCCTGGCGAGGGCAGACTCAAGTCAAAAAAGGAATTACTGTGGTAGGTTCCTAAGCGAAGATTTCCAGTGGAGTTTGACGGTAGTGCAAGCATCTGGCCCCACTACACTAGACAGAATATGAGGTCCGTCGAGCAATAGTGAAGTTGAAGTTGGGAAAGCAACTGGTTCTGTTAGGATACCAATCCTTGAAGCTCAATCACATCCTCCTTCAGTTTCCACTATCTAATATGCATGGAGGGTTCTCAATTCACAATCGTAAAACCATTTCACATGCTTTTTACAGTCTTCAAGTGGATTGAAGGAGTTTCCATCCAAAGAATTCTGCAGATAGCTCAACAAGCGGCGGTTTGATGGTGCTATGTCCGGACTATACAAAGTGTGATAGAACACTCCACTCAAGCTCCAACAATTTTTGACGAGTGGCCAGAAGTCGCACACGGGGGTGCAGTCCATCACATTGCGCTCGTTTAGTTCCTGAGCCCGAACATCAAGGCGCTTAACAAAACTAGGCCCCAGTCAAATGGTCTAGAATGATTGATTTCCGAGCACTAAGTCTTTCTTTCTTTTCACGTGTAGTGGTGTGCCGATTCGTTTCGATTAACATTGTGAATTGGGCGCGATAGGCTCTCTGAGCTTGCTGACCTCCGAGAGTGAATTCACCCTCATTGAATTTCGCAAACCACTCATGCACTGTAAGTTCCCTAGAGCACTGTCTATTCAAACGTCCCAAGTCTTTCTCGCAGCTTGACCCGCGTTCTTGCAGGTGGAGAAAAGCATCAAGTGCTGAGAAAGCACGCGATGGTCCACAATTTTCACATGACTCCTATGCAGAAAGACTTCAAAGAATAATAACAGAATTCAAGAAGGGATGAAGGAGGACCTACCCTTCCTGAAATTATATAATTTTGTAAGATTAGATCCTTGATCTTTTGCACAACAGCACAACAGTCTATCAATCAGGGTGCTCAAAAACGGCGAAAACTCCCTGAACCAACCAATAACAATTCCAACGGCCTAACAAAAGCAGTAGACACACAAAGTTGACGAGTTAGGGACAAAACTTTGGTCTCCTACGGGTCTCGAACACGTACTTGTGTTATCCGGGCATCCTGCTATAGTCCCTTACACTTCTGTGAACCGGCTCCAGCTGATGATTACGAAAGTTAAGTTCCTTAGCTGGGACCGGGCTGCACATTCGAAAAATTAGACCCGTATCACAGTTCCCGTGCTCCTCACCATTTTCTCATTGTTCATAATTGCTCCTTACTTCACCACACATACCCGTCTTCAAAGCTACTTACATAGCCTTCTTCAAAGCCAAGGCGTACAGAATGTTAGCTTCTCAACGGAGCTACAAGTTGGTTAAGCACTCATGGATATCTGCTCCTTGAGCGTGAAGAAGTAACAGATGCCAAATCATTTCCCATGAACATTGTTCTATGGTTAGTTACGTTTAGTTGCGAGCCGATTTTTCCAAGAGTGTTGTCGAGCTCTCGTAACATTCGTTACGCCAGCTCGATGTTCGGTGTTTTAAGAGCGATTTCATCTGCAAAGCGGAGATGACGCAAAACGGCAGTCGACCTCCACTCCCATGTCTTTCCATTCCAAGTGGCGGCATAATGTTCTTGAGTGGCACTGAAACAAACAAACTCGATCACGTACAATCGACTATGCATGTCTTGGGAAATTCGGAGGTGGTAATGTTGTTGAGAGGTTTTCATCTCTTTTTCAACATGCAGAGCTAGAACTCAGAGAATATGGTGCCAACTTTGCGAGCCCATAATGGTGCTCATATATACTTTACCAAAGTTTAAGAGTAAAGGAGCAGAGGGGTAAGTGAGTCAAGTAAAGTTGAATTTTTAGCCCATCCAAGCTTTTTGATCGAGGAAATTATTCCACTCACCCCGGTGCTCCCAAAGCTATGGTAAAAGGTATATCCTTTTAAATAGAAGTATCGTATGTTAGCATAGGCTAGGTCGACAAGTCGGTCGACTACCCCTCCTCTGTGCTCTAGCCCTCAATGCTGGATAAGAGCGGTACCCCCTTCCCCTAAAACTTGGTAAAAGTAAGAGAAGAAGCCGACGACCCGAACCGGTTTGTAATTAAAGGAAAAACCAACATTGTGCGTAACGATAAGGTGCGAAGTACAGTCGGAACCAAATAGTAATCAACACGAGGTAAAAAGAAATTAAAATCTAACATTGAGTGAAGTCTCATCCCACCCATATCATGTTACATTATAACCAAAGAGTGCAAGCCCTTCAAGTATTGGTGAGGTTCCTACATTTGCCTACAGTTCGATGAGCATCGATAAGAATAGTTAATCTTCAATTTTCCAGGTCGCTGAATCCATAGAGCTTATGGTTAGTTTGTGCGCGCTTATCTATAGCTACTTATTCACTCCAGTTCGCACTCAAGCGATAAAGCCTTGACAGCCTGGCTGTGGTCTCCTTTATTCCACTGCATTATTTGATGATAGTTTCCTGTGTGTTCTGCTGCTGTGACTTGCTGGAATGATTCCTGATTAAACATTGAAAGTCAAATTAACACCTGATCTTTGTCCACTAGTTTTTTTCTACTGTTCCTCGACTATATTATATATATGCATATGTATATATATTTATATATATCTACATACATATACAGGGTGTCCCACATGAAGTGTGACGCAGAAAACTAGCATCAAATTATACAAATCAAACCAAATAGGAAACATTTACTCCTATACAATCATCACAAAATTTTAAACAACATATCACATCTCGCATGCAGAATGACCATATTTCGCCTTAATACAAGCATCCAATCTCTTTCGGAAGTTTTAAAGAATGCGCGCAACCACTTTCATCCCACGCTTCTACAAAAGAGCTTTTCTCAGAGGGTCCAAAGACCTGTTTTTGAAAGCGCAGGCTTTTTGCTCCAGAATCGTTCATACAGCAAAATCCAGTGGATTAAGATCAGGGAATTTGAAGGTTAAACCTGCTTCGCCCCAAAAACCTGGAAGTGTGTTTTAACAACATTACAGCATCTTCTTTGCGCTGTGGGCTGGTGCCCAACCCTACGAAAGGTTCAGCTGACGTTCATCGCGTTCCTTTCCGCCCAAAGGATCATCGCATCCTCCAGCCCAGAAGCCCGTAAGTTGATTTTTTTATTGCCCGTCACACTTCATGTGGGTCACCCTGTATATGTATTAGGTTGATGCATAATTATTGCGGATTTTTTTCAGCAAATTTTACTTGAAAAAACGATAGAAATATTTAGCAAAGTCATGTTTCAAATAATTGCTTCGGAACATATCCACCATATACGTAAAGCACTGCTTCCCATTTGTTAGGCGGTCTTCGGCTTTGGCTGACTGTTCCATCGCCGAGAAGTTCGTTGGGATCACGTTATGAGTGTGCCTCCTTCCAACACTTCTCGAAGTAATAGAGCATGATGTGGCGTATATGAAGATGACTTTCTAGACATATTTCTGTTAAGAAAAGCAAGAAGATTATTTCTTCAAGAACCCCGAATTCAAAAGTNATTATGCATCAACCTAATACATATATATTTATATATGCGCGCACAACAACACGATTTATTTGTTCTTACTTGTTGAAAAAAAATATAATAAAACCGAGCTAGTAGTTGACCGAATATTAGCTATCGCTGCTATCCGGCGTTTTTTTAAACTCCCTCCCTGCGTCGATAGTTCGAAAGGAGGAGTAAATACTCCACTTCTGAGGGTAAACATGAGCTCAGTCATTGCGGAAACGCAGCTAGTCTTACAGACTCTTTTTAGCAGCTTTATCTCAGCAATTCTGGAGAGTTTCCTATTTCGTCTCCGTTGTTCGTCTCTTTCTCAATTATTACATTAACAATCAGTTACGAATGCAGAATTTTTATCACATGCGTGAACCAGATGCATGAGTTCTTAGCTGTTTTTTTTCAGTTTCTGCTGTGTCGTACGCTGTACTCGGAGGGCCCCTTGGGTGTATTGACTGATTATAAGGCATCCCTATTCCTACCCATTTCTTTTAGCACGAAATTTGTTCCATATAGTAACTTTCCGCTGTAACTCTCTTATTATGTCTGGCAAGTAGGGCTAATAGTGGGTTATGCCTTCACGTTTCTCTTCGTTCTCTTCTAATTTCCACTCAACTGGTTTGCGCAGGTCTTCCGATGAGCGCAAGTTCGATGAAAATCCAGCAAACTTTAGGGATACTCGAAATGATGAGATCAATTCCCTTTTAGAACGCTATGGGGCCAGAAAACCCTCTGTTACCAAAAGCCCACCCCAAAGCTCATTCGAGCAGCGTCGACAACAGCAGCTGGTTACGGATAGTGGATTGAGTAAGACACGACGAGAAAACGAGAGGGCAGGTGTAGGATCAATGGTGGTCGGCGGCTCCAATTTGTTTGGTTCAGGTGTCTGCAGCACCTCTTCCAGAGTTCCTGATCGAAAAAATGTGTCTAGTGCCGCTAAAGATACTCAGGAGATCAATCATAACGAATTCATGAACAGGCTACTTGTAGCTCATAATCGCGTCGACGACCTACTTCGATCTAGAGGATTGAGTGCAGAGGACGAATCCAAATATCTCAGAGCTTGGACGGAAATACCCATCGTACGAGCTCGATATTGCAGGAGAGCACGAACACCAAGCACGAGTTCGAGCGATTCAGGTCTCTCGACGGACAATGGCAGCGAAAGAAGCAGCTCGATTGCAAATAAAAAGGAGGATATCATTTGCGAACATCAGTTCGTACGACCCGAAACCTGTCTCTCATGCTCTAAAACCTTTCATTCTCATCAACCGCGTTCGAAAGCATATTTTTCCTGTAGGGAACATCGTGATAAATCGACAACAGCTGTGCTTCCCCTTGACGAAGGACCAGTGTTCAAAGCGACCTCCAAAGTACTAGCTGCTGTTCCACTACGAGATAAACCAGTCGAATTTGCTTGCGTATTTTTTGCACATGAGACCTCATCTTCCTCGAACTTTTCAAAATCCAGGGAGGAGTACCAGGAAGTAAAGAAGAGCCTGCACTCATCGATAAAAGCTGAAAAGCAGATGAGAGTTCAACCAAGTTCTGTAGGGTTGCAACCTGCAACCACACAGAAGCGAACATGCAAATTTCAAAAAGACCAGTCACCTGTTAGTCAAGCGGAGGAACAGGGAAAGGTTGCAGCTACAAAGCCTGTGACCATTATGACTATTTTACAACAACAAAGGGCTGTTCTGGCCAATCTTGAGCGCAAACCATGTTCTATTTTGCCCTGCTCAGCTGACATTTCCATTCAACATTGCAGCTTTTATAAAGGTTCCATGAGGGCTGTAGGCAAACCAGAAAGAAACGTCAGAATGAACTTGCGCCTTACCGAACGAGCACCGAATAAGTGTTTGACAAAGATCTCGCTTCCTACGACACCTCGATCGTTGTACGCATATCTGCGAGTACCACAAAAGCCACCTAGCGTGAACCGCAAGAAGAACGTTCATATGGTGAAACGAGGGTTTAAAGTTGGTAAACTTGATCTTTCATCGATATTAGGCTCACCAAAAAAGACTAAGCAACAGAAGAAGGTTAACCGTCTGGTCATTCCCGAGTTTCTGCTGAACAGTGACGCTATGGAGGATCCTAAGAATGATAGAAATCAAATGAAAGAAATGGGTGCTCACAAAGGCAACAGTGTTGAACCAAAGGAAGCATTTCTACCGAAGCGATCCTCAATTCGATTAGCCTAACTCGCTTCCACAAAAAAGCCAATCTTCACAGTAGCTGGTGATAGCTGCCCAACAAAAGAGAACTCTCTGATCACGACCCCTCAAAGCCCTATTTTATTGAGAAGGGTCAGTGTACACATTCGATCGTCACGTTTACATTTCCGTAGAAATAACTCGGTTCTAGTACCTGGACATTCAAGCCCTGTACAAACGAATTCCCAGACCTAAACTACATGTTATATCCCTATTCCAATGTAATCAAGACTGCCCTCAAATTCCGAGACCAGCGATGGAATTCATTCAGTATAGTACAAAATATCGTCATACACCTCAGCCCCACCGTCAACCATCATTACCCTCCCTTCGAAAAGTCTACCGTAGGTGAAACAAATCTCGACAAGGGTACATCTGTTAGAATGTCCACCACTGAAAAACGGTCGGACAGCATTAAACACAGTCAACACTAAGCGACCAGATTGATGGATTCCTCGTTGAAGAAAAGAGTGGTGAGATCATCTTTAAATTTTCTTACGTCTTCTTTCTAGAAATATAATTACTTTAGTTCTGAGGAAAGGTTGCCAGAGATGGAGGAAGAAGAGCAACAGCATCGTGACATCAGAAATGGGTCAGCGTGTAGGAAAGCAATAGGTACCGTACTGTTTTTCGAACGTTTATAAAATAATGTTTTGAAAGAAGCCTACACTTTTTTCGCTCGTACGACATTAATCTCATGATATCGTTGTTCTTGACCCTGGCCTTTATAGCTGAATTCTGACAGTGTATCTCAACTACTTGATCAACCTTCATCTCACGTATTGAATCGATTCCTGTAACAAACGTACTAGTATAGTGGTTGTAGTTACATCGCACTATATATAAATCGTTAGGTGAGCCTGGTGCTTAGTCGAAGTGTGTATGTTGGAATGTCTAGGTTGTGCGTATGCCGTTGTGCGTGTCGGTGTCGGCGTATCTCTGTGTGTCAGTGGCTGCTTTCATAGTCCGCCGGCCGGCCGGCGTGCCACGAGGCAGTGCTAGGGAGGAGGAGGGCGGCAGACGGTCGGTCAGCCCCTCGAAGGGCTGTAAACAAGGTGAGACAAGATCAAAAACCATTTGTACGAGCCCCTGGTTGCGGCCGGTTCTCCGGCACGCCGGCCGGCGGACTATGAAAGCAGCCAGTGCGTATAGACCGAAGTTCATACCCTCTGTCTCCCTAACCTGGAGCGTTCAACTTTGAGAGTAACGTGGGCTGTAGTAGGAGTCGCTATTTAATCACGTCATCGGCTAAGGTTACTTTTCAAAATTAGCTCATCATCTGTCGTTCCGTTGACCACCGATTTCTTGAAAGGCTCAGTTCACGATAATTGTGGGTAATCCAGATTATGATGAAAAATAGAAGACAAGATCGGAAATAGTGCGATGCAAAGTGAAAAAAGGCTTCGAAAAACCGTTAAAAAAGGGGCTGGATGAGAACGAGACGAGAAAAATGTAGAAGAGTGGGGCGTTCGGACGACCTATACAATGTGTCTCACTGCGTGCGTGTGGGTCCTGGTGGCAATAACAGGCTATGGTAAGCAAAAATCCGTTCACTTATAAGTATGAGTAAACAAAAACCCTAGCAACAGCAAAAGAAGCTCACCTTTTCAGCCTCTAGGTGCAAGCTGTATTGCCTCGACACTCGTCTAATGTGACATCGATCGAGGGTTAAAGCCAATTACGGCAGCAACAGGGCTTACACTACGCCCTAAGCGCCGAGATTGTGGGGGCGAGAGGGTCCCTTCTACCAACCCATAGGGGGGGGGGGGGGGGGGTGATGAGTATTCCGAAAGGGAGAACTCAGAAACCTTTTTGATCGTGAACCGTGCCTCTAAGCGGACGCCAGTAACGTCTCCATGCGTCCCTTTCGTGAGCTAGCGTGGTCTTTTAGATTGTCCCCGATCGAGGTACACGAGGCATAGCTCCATCCGTTCAGCGTTCTTGTGAAGAAGTCTGATCATCAAGCAGGCGAAATCCATGCATTCATTTGATCTTCGGAGAGATCCAGCCAGTAATTGCTCTGATCCAAAGGTCACCACAATATCGCATCACGTGTCCGGTCCACCTCATCCTCTTTTCTTGGTTTAGGCAATGGTGTCCCTCTTTTTTCGTTGAACTAGCTCAAAGCTCCTCTTTCTGTCCAGAGTGAGCCATAAACATGGTAACAAATAGTTGTCGTGCAGAAACCGCTGTTCGTATTGATACATGGTGAATTATGTGTAATATTTGCTGTGCATCGCATCAACAAAATGAACGCATCTGATATAACCGTGTCCTGTACTAAATATATGAGCTCCTGTCCACTCATCGATGGGACACGCAGACTTTCTTGAGGATCTCCCAACCGGGCTTTCTGGGAGACGGGCGCTAGGAATGATTTTGGGTAATCGATTCGCCGCAGGCGGCTGTCGCGGACTACTCATTCGCTGTTATTACAGCTCTAACGTTCTTCACACAGCTCAATCGATATGCGATGATTATTTTATGCATGATTCTACTATTAGTGTTTTTGTTCTTGCATTTCTTACCTACTGCTGCATCCTGCTACATTTCTTCGCGCGNGACGCCCCTCTCACCGCGACGCGATCATTTCGTTCCTAACGCACCACACCCGTTCTTTCTTCAACGATTTCTCAGAAGCAGCAACAGAAGTGTGTCTTAAAACGCAAGCTTTCCTCTTTACCGACCCATTCGATTGCAGTCCTAGAATCTCGATGGCCAATTGGAGGCTGGAACAAAATTGCGAACATTTCCTCAGCCCTTCTTAATATTTTTCATTCGTGAGCACTTGCGCTTCTACATTTTACATTTCTACATTTTATTCTTGTAATAATCTTCTGATGTTAGCAGCACCTAAAAAATCACCCTTATGGAGACATTCTGATAATTTTTTATACTATACTCGGCAAAAAAAAGCGATATCGGTCTGATGACATAGATTTCAGTCCGAACCACCCTGGAAAGGGTAAATGGTCGCTAGAAACTATAAAGAGTCGCTAGGCCTTTTTTAGGAGATTTTGCTCATAGAGATGGTGAGCACATCCAACGGTTAGTAGAAAGAAGAGATAGAATAAGCTCTTTTTACTTTGAAGTGAAGTTGAGTGAAGAGAGTGAAGTGAAGAGTGAAGTTCTTTGAGCCAATCATTAAAGTAACTTCTATGTCGAGTGCTGCTTTTGACTAAATAATCGCAGCGCTACGTATCCATGATTAATTGATGATATGATGCGCGTGTTAGCGTGCATAGTCAAACTGGTGGCAAGTATGAGCCTCTTACAGAAATATTCCATAAATACGTAAATGGAACGTGAAGGTTGGTGTGTTTTGTGGCTGAAGACGGGTCTCACTTGGCCTACAGATGTGGAACTGCTAGTCGTTCAACTGAGTCACATTATATACATGAATATTGTTTTTCCAGCAGCAGGCTCAGAACTATTCAATATGACGATAACAACAATAACGGCTATAGCGATGTAAGTACTTATTTACTCAGTTATAATTTACATTAAAGCTCTGTTGGTTAACATGTTTTTGCGAGGTTGTACATATTCCTCGAAGTCTATGGTGAGTTCATAAATAGAAGGTCTGTCACAACTCCTATAACTCAGAACACGTAGGGCCTTATTGTTAGTTATATGATACCACGATTCTCCGCGCGCGTTTCGCTTAATCTATCATGACTGTGGTACTGTAAGGAGCGTACTTCTGAACCGTAAAGAACCCCTAGTTACCCATAATCGAGGTGAGACCATTGCGGGCAAAGGATTCATCCTCAGTGCGTTGCTAGCACTTTGATATTTTTATTACTATCGCTAGTACTTTTCATTCCGTTGACTCTACTCCGATTGATTACTAAGGTGGTATGAGTGTCTCAATTAGCTGAGTCGCTGTTATGATTAAGGAATGCGACGGTTTCGATGGCGAAAGATAATGATGGCTGCGCTCCTATTTAAAGGCACAGTTCACGGTAAAAATGGTTTCTGAGATTCCCCCACAGGATAAATTTGAGGCCCTCGCGTATACCATATCTGGCACTATTGGGTCGGAAAACGGCCTAGTTAGGGAGTTATGAAGGCTCAAAGACTAGCGTGTGTATCCTCGGACGAGGTCCACCGACATTGTAGAGCACCGACCACAAGAGGACACATGAAGGAAGTTCAAACAACTTGTCATGACCCAAAGCGACAGTGAAAGACAGTTCTGTGCGGTTCTGGCTTGATGTAGCCAGCTCTTTGGGCAATTGCGATAACTGAAATCTCGTCCTAATACCCCTTCCATGTTATTTCCACCATGGTAATCTCGTCCAACCTCTATTTTCCCTACTTATGAGGAGCCTTATTATTCTCAAAATCGGCAAATTCTTTCGCTTTCTTCTCTACCAATGAATTACTCCCAATCTATACTTCCGCTTTATGAATAAGAACGATAAAAACGGGTACCTCAAAATTATCGTGAACTGTGCCTTTAATGAAGCGGTGCAACTGGAATGAATGTGATTATAGACCACTGGGAGAGAAAGGAACTTCATAGGCACTGAATCGGACTAAACTATTACTTTGACATCAAAACAGACACTGGTTAGGAGGTTGGTGATTTATGTGTTTCTTCGGAATATTTTTATGAAAATATATTTCAGAGAGACTGGTCGTTTTTCCACGATTGATTCTTGGTTATTCCGTTGACAAACAGATCCCTCTTCCTATACGGATTCCCACTCGATTCTCTAGATGCGAGCATGAAGCGTTTTGTAACACAAACCACAAACTACAAGTTCTGCAGTTCCATTACACGAGATCTCTATTCTATTGTTTCATATTTTTTTTTGTTATAACTTAAATTTTTGTTGTTATAAAGTTGGCCTTATGAAGTGTTTACAAGGAAACCAATTTTACTGCTCCATATCCTTCCATTAGGCTCTTGCCTTTTCAATTTCAGCCTTTGAAATGATCGCACAAAACTAGAAGTAATTCTTCTCATACTTCTTGTGGCT